ACCCCAGACTGTGAATGATCCTTAACATAGTAAGCTCTGTGTACTGGATGCAATATGGCTGTCTTTTGAGTCTGTCCCATTTTGTTTTCTCTGATTTTTTTTGAGCCTGATTAATCACTTTCAGGGAAAGGTCTTTCTTTGGTAGAGGGTCTGTCTGGGGATCCTTGGTTCCTTGTTCGTATAATTTACTGTGTCTAGCAGCCAGGCTGTGCTATTGTCAGGAGTCTACTATTTTGGTGGGGGCAGTCCCTAACTGTATGATTACTCCAGGCTTTCATTTTACATCTTGAATCTTCATGGTCTTAGACTCCAGCTTTCCCATACAATAAACTCAACCTCCACAATGAGGGAAGGACTACTTGTCTTGGCAGGAAATTCAGGTATAGGGGTGGGAGGGTCTCTAGCTCTTCTTTATGTAAATTGTTAGCCCACCCTCCCATTTGGGGCCTCCCTTGGCCATGGCCCTCATGGCTGTCTGGTGTCTCTGTGGCCAGGGCCAGCCCTCTTCATACCCCTCAGCACTCACCTTTCTTGGCTGCTTTGTCCTCTGCTCCTTAGCAGTCTGATTCCTACTTTCAGAAGTCTTGCCTGTGGTTGTCTCCTTTCCCCCTCATGTCTCTCGTTAATCCCTTTTCAGCAACTTAATGGCCTTTCAGAAGGGAACAGAGGTGAATGAGTGTGCATCTGCTCTGCTTAATAGAAAGTGCACACAAATTCTCTAATGAGCAATTGAGGTGGAAGAATAAAACTCTTTAGCTATAAATTTATTTTCTTTTACAGTGTTTGAGGTTCAGCTATTCCTGAAAAGAATTTAAATAAAAGGATCATGTTGGAGAACAGTTGTTAATGTTTACTTCATAACATTTCAACTCCTAGTAAGAGGGAAGATCAGAAAAATAAAAGATAGGTTGCCTGTACAGCTGAGGTCTGTGGACAAATGGTGATGGTAGATTCTGTCCAATGTCCTAATGTTCTGGAATTGTAGGTTTCATCTAGATTTCATGGTGGTGTGTCAGGTGGTGATTCAGTTCATGGGCTTTGGAATTCCTTCCTGCTGTGCCATGTGTGAGCCTTGAGCAAGTTAGCTCAGTTTCCTGACCTAAAAATAGGAGGCATTGTACCTTGCATCTCAAGTTATTTAGAAATGAATGGCTTGTTCCATGTAAATGTTTAGTTTTGAGTGACCACTGAGTTTTATTCACTTTGGTATATTCTAGGTCTCCTTTTGCATCTGACATGATTTTTTTGTTCCTGGGAGCCATATTGGCTCATTTCTGTCCTCATAGATCTTCCCCTGTGGCAAGAGGTTCACTTGCATGTCTTGGGGAAAAACAAGACCTGAATTAGGGGGAGAACAGGAGGGGTGAGGTGTAATAATTGAGCCTAGGACTGTATGACTTCTTAGTTTGCTTTTAACATTCTAACTCAGAGCGCTGAGTACTTAAAGCTAGTGCTTACTCACCCCCTCCCTAACCCCCAGCTTCATCCCAGATGATTAAGTGGATGATATGGATCCCTTCTGAAGGTTCCAGGTGATGTTAGATTCCATGTTCCAGACATTCACATTAACTACTGTAGGTTCAAATTTGAAGAAAGTACTCTTAGAGAATATTGTTAGAGGAAGTGGCGCTGTAGCTCAAGTGGTAGAGCACTAGCCTTGAGCTGAAGAGCTGAGGGACAGCGTTCAGGCCCAGAGTTCAAGGCCCACGACCGACCAAAAAAAAAAAAAAGAGAGAATATTGTTAGAGGACCTATTGGATTGGTGGCTTGGAACCTGGAAATATCTCTCTGGATTTGCTGTTAACACACCCTGAAGAGGTGAGGTGAGTAGTACAGGGATGTCTGGAGCACTGGGTATCTCTACTGGCTGTGGCAGCAGCTTCATCAAGCAATAGTAATAATTAACTGTACTTTCCTTTCATTTTTTACATGGAAGAGACCACATGAAGAAGTTAAGGAGTTGGTGGGCAACAAAAAATGAACATATGTTCTCACGTTTGCTGTGGTTGTGCTTCTGTCTACCTTACTCTAGCCTTCTTCCTAGTTTCTTCTTCCATGGCAAATGTTTCAGCTCTCTCTCCAGCCCCACCTCCCATGCACATTTATGTGTGTGTTAAAGCCTGGATGCTAAGAGGATAGCCTACATTCCCCATATAACTGTGAGCCTAGTTTTTCCTCCTCCAGTAACCATTTCATTAACTTAAAAAAAATTCTAATCTGACCAAGGTATATAAATTATGAAGACACTCATGTGCTTAAATTAAATTTTAAATTAGACAATTAAAAAATCATGGTTCCTAAAGTTTGAAACAACGTCATCCTAAAAGATGTAAAGAAGCTTCTTTGGTAACAGTCTATTTTAAGTGGTGGTATGTTTAAGATCACTGGCTGGGAGTTGGCTGTTTTTTCAGTCATGTAGATGCTTTTGCAGTAAGCCTTTAGATGGCAGCATCTCTCACCATAAACCACATTTTGAACAAAATCTCTCATATGTCTGAGATGTTTGAGGGTGAAGGGTAAGAGTCCACCTGCATTACTCCTTCACGGTGAGGATGGAACAGGGACCCCAGAGGGTGGTCAGGACAGTAGCTTGGGGTGCACAGGGAACAAAAGTTATCCCCCCCCCCATCTGGAGCTCTGTTCACTCCCTTCTCTTAGTGGTACACAAATGTATCTTGTGGCCTTCTTAGAACTATAACAAAGTCACATGTATGACTCTATATCAAGGAGGAATGTGATGTTTGAAGGAGAACCTGGGGTTTGAATTGTTTTTTTTTTAACTATTTTACATGGGTGTATTCACATGCTATGTAATTCACCCACTTAAACTCTAGAGTGAGTTTTAATGTCTTACAAGGTTGCATAAATGATTTCTAAAGTCTTAATTTCAGAACATTTTATTGCTCTGTAAAGAATATCCGTAGTGATCACCCCACAAGCCTGCATATCCTCGTCCCTATTCCGGATGTTGCACACTGGCTGGGACTCTATAAAGTGCGTGGCTTTTGTAACTGGCTTTTTTCACTTGGCATCATGTTTTCCACTTGTACTCATGTCATAGCATGAATTGGTGCTTCATT